GAGGAAGACCGACACACGCCTGCGGCCGCGCCTGCTCGCTGTGATCCTCAACCTGCGTCTTTTACGGTCGCCTCTTTTAACTTCGGGTTCGAGCAGAGCATGATGATGGGGAAGAACTCCAAGACTCACTGCTCCAACTTCGGGCGGATTTGCGCCAAGATAGTCGAGGAAGTCGATGCTGACCTTTTCTTTGGGTGCGAGGTCGGTGCGTTTCGTCAAGGCCTGAGTCGAGCATCCATCAACGTGAAAGACATCCTGACCAAGCCGTTCGGCGACAGCATCGGCTTCTGCGAGGTCGCCAACTACTTGAGCCTATGGGGCTTCGGCGGTGCTTCTCAGCCTGCCGACGCGTCCCTGCGCGAGGACACATACATCTACCACGTCCCCATCGCGCGACAAGTGGACGCAGTGATCTCACGGTTCAATGTGCAGACAGGAGGCCATGACAAAGTTCACGTGGTCGTCGGAATCATGCACATCGTTTGCGGAAGCAACCCTCCCAGCATTCACACGCGACAGAAAGCAGTTCGGTTTCTCCGACTCCACTTGGGCGGGATCGCCGTGCTTCTCAGTACTGGGGAGCCGGGCGCGCCGGTCGTGCGCCTCGTAGTCGGCGACAACGACTTGACCGCGCAGGAGGCGCGTGAAGCTTTCCAACGCCACACTGGCGACGAGGCGTTATGGGAAGTCTTCGCCCCCCCGGCGGACCGCAAAGGCGACAACGCGGCAGTCTGCGGAGCAGTCGCGCGTTTCCAGCCCGTCGCTGTTGGCGCTTCCTACATGGACCGTGGCATGCGAAACGACGCACGCGATGCTGTTGCGGTCGCGCTCACCGCCCCTGATGCTCCTCAGCCTGGGGAGACAAAGAGGCGGAAGATTGCATTCGGAGGACTGCCTGGCGCCGACGCCGGCTCAGAGACCGAGGTGGAGGGCCCCTCGGTGCACTGGCCCCGGTCCCCGAGCCCCGCCCCTGTGCATGCACCGCTTTCAGCGACGTCGCCGGCCGACGCCGCGGCCTGCGACGAGCCCGAGGATGAAGTTAGTCGGCGCGCGCATGAGCTGCGCAAGGAGTTGAGGGAGCATTGGGACCAGAGGTATGACGCGGCCTACGACCCGAAACTCCTCCACCACCTCAGCCTCTTGCTGTTCGAGAAGAGGACGTCCACGCAGCCTGCGGACAAAGATCCAGCTGGTGCTTCTCAGCCTGGCTCGGACTGCGACACCGCCTTCGCGTCACAGGCGGAGACTGTCCGAGCCATTGCGTCTGTCCTTAAGGTTCGCCATGAGTTTCTGCGGAGCAAAAACATCGCCGACTTGCGGCGCGTCCTCACCGACGCTGAGCGCGGGGAACTCGTAAGACGTGTTCGCACAGAGTACGAGCAGTCCGAACACCAGCTGGCGCTACAGGAACGAGATGGCGAGAAGGGGAAAGCGAAAGGCAAGACTCCACCACAAGGTTCTAGCGGAACTTCTCAGCCTGCGGGAAAAGGCGAAAAGGGGGAAGCGAAAGGCAAGACTCCACCACAAGGTTTTCGCGGAGCTTCTCAGTCTGCGGGAAAAGGCGAGGAGGGGAAGGCGAAAGGCAAGACTCCACCACAAGGTGGCCAGCCCCAAGGGGCAGGCCAAGGGGGTCTCGCTAAGTTCCTCAGAGAGCAGAAGCGTAAGCGGTGGTGCCGGCATCTGCAACGCGTGTGCGGCACAAAACAGATCTGGGAGGTGCTGGCTTTCTCCGGCCGCTTCGACGTTGACATGCTCACCCAAGCCCTGCACGCCGAACCCAGTGAGCCACCTGCGCACGACGAAGTCATGAAGGAAGAGCGCCGCCGCCTCCACCACGACAAGGCTGAAGCGATCTCGCGCTACAACGAGGGTGAGCGGCTCGCCCGCTATCGGCAAGAGCTCTTACGTGGCGGTGCTACTCAGCCTGCCGACCAGGGCCAGGAGGTTCCCACTCTCACGCGCAAGCAGTTGGACGTGCTTCGGAAGTGGGACAGCGGCGAGTTGCGAGTCAACCGGAACCAGGCGATTGTGGCGCTAGGACACGGCCGCCTCCGTACTGCGGGAGGGGATTACCTGGACATCGGCGGCAGCACGGGCGGTGGGTCTCGGCGCATCATCGACTCTTGGCAGCCGCCGGATTGGCGCGACTTCCTGCAAGACGAGCGGGAGAGGTGAGGTTTCCAAGCCCGTGTGCCCGCGGTGCTTCTCAGCCTGCGGTGCTTTTCGCTAGACTCTTTCTGCGGTGCTTTTCTGCGAGTAGTAGGACTCTTTTCAGCCTGCGGGTTTCTGCGAGTCTCAGCCTGCGAGTTTTCAGTCTCCAGGTTTCGCAGGCTCTCCGCTTCGCACGCCGCTCCTCAGTTCCAAGACGTCGGCCAAAGTGCAGGCTTTTGCAGGCTGCCGCTTTTGCAGCCTGCCACCACAGCTCAGCGTGCCGCTTTTGCAGACTTCCAAGACGTCTGCCAAAGTGCAGGCTTTTGCAGGCTGCCGTTTTTGCAGCCTGCAACCACAGCTCCGCCTGCCGCTTTTGCAGGCTTCCAAGACGTTTGCCAAAGTGCAGGCTTTTGCAGGCTGCCGCTTTTGCAGCCTGCCACCACAGCTCAGCGTGCCGCTTTTGCAGACTTCCAAGACGTCTGCCAAAGTGCATGCTTGTGCATGCTTTTGCATGGACTCGCCCAGCACACCAGTAGAGACACAGGTCTTACGAGTCCCTGCGCATAATACTTTGTACACAATGTAGTCCTGCGAGTCCTACTGTCCTGCGAGTCTGTGATACAACTGTGTAGTGTCAAGCTCTGTGCGTTGATAGCAGTGCGTGCGTTGATAGCAGTGTCTTGTTTGACCATACATCTATTCAAGTTCCGCGTGTTGATAGCAGTGTCTCGTGAGGACGTACACCCATTCAAGCATCCGCGCGTTGATGCCAGTGTCTCGTGTGGACATGCATCCATTCGAGCTCCGTGCGTTGATAGCAGTGTTTCATTTGGAGGTACATCCATTCAAGCTTTGTGCGTTGATAGCAGTGTCTCGTTTGGACATACACCCATTCGAGCTCCGTGCGATGATAGCAGTGTCTCGCTTGGACATACATCCATTCAAGTTCCGTGCGTTGATAGCAGTGTCTCGTTTGGACATACACCCCTCCAGCTATGCTTCTACATATCGATGTTAGGTTGCTTTGCCGGGATAATTAGGGGGATTTGCATTTTGACTTCGATTGTCCAACAGTTTTTGGTTGTGCGGATCTGCAATTTGAGCTTGATCGTGCGGATTTTCAGATTGTTTTTGCTCGTAGGGAATTTCAGCCACCCGCCCCATACCTTTTGTACAGGCGGCGACAATACGACTCCTACATGTGGAGGCCATTGCAGATCACACACACAATCTTTTCGGACGGTCGCCACAAAAAGGGATCCGTTAGAAAAGGCGCCACCAACAATAAATCCATTACAGAACCTCCACAATTACATTCCAATTTCAAATTCCCACTAATGAAATCAATGTGTAATCCATTAACAAATGAATTTGGAGTGTAATGGACTTCCGGAGGCGGCGTCGTGGGGCCGCGGAATCTCACCAGGAAAACAGGAACACATACAGGAAAACAATGAGCAGGCCTGTGTTGGCCAAGGAAAACCAGGAACAACCTCAAACACAATTAAGGGCGTCATATTTTCTTCACCGGGGATAATATGACAAACTGCAGCACACCGTGAGGGACATTTTTCCAAGTGGTGCAATACTTTCAAACACTGACAATCACAGGTTTCCCGTTGTGTTGTGTTTCAGTTTTTTTCGCTTTTCATATGAAAGCAAACGTGCTTCCATGTTTTCTTAATACACATATATGTACATATACATATAACCTGGTAAGCTTCTGCGGCCCTACGGCGCTTTCTCGATAATTCTAGACGCTTCGCGTATCCCCACCAGCCCGTCCAGAAACGACGCCCAGGCGAGTAGAGGGTCGTCCTGAGGGGCTTTTCGGCGTCTTGGGTGCCTCGGGGGGGCTTCTGTGGGCCGTTAGGGATCCTCTTTGGGGCCTCCTGGGGGCCTCTTGGGGCCTCTTGTGGCCATCTTGGGGCCTCTGGGAGCACCTTGGGTGCCTCTGGGGGGTCTCTTGGGGCCTCTTGGGGGTCTCTTGGGGGCCTCCTGGGGGCCTCTTGGGGGGCCTCTTGGGGCCATCTTGGGGCCATCCTGCGGCCTCTTGGAGCATCCTAGGGGCCTCTTGCGGCCATCGTGGAGGAAATCGATCAAAGAAGAGGGGTTCCTAAATTTCAGCCCCCCCCTCAGGAGCCACGATCCTCGTGAGGGGTGTCGAATGTTAGCCCTCCCAGGGGTCGATCTTGGGCGCTCCAACGCGCCGCGGAACCCCCTGTCCAGGTCAGTGGGGAGGGGGTAGGGGGAGGGGTAAACCCCTCCCCGAAGGGGAAGAAGGAGGGGTGGAAGAGGAAACTCTTTAAACCACCGACGCCCTAAAGGGCTGGTGGGATATCAGAGGAATGAACATCGATGTGCAAAGTGAATGCACATTGATGTTTTGTGCGGTGATTTACACATGTATTTACACAGTGAAGTTGATTGTGGGGGTTTCCAAACTGATTTCAAGTGTGGAGATATCTGTGGCAGCGTTGTGGCAAATCTATAGTTGCAAGATGTGACAGTTGCAGGGACGGTGCATGTCTGCAAACTACAGAAAATATCTGGTTGTAATCGCACTGGCCAGCGCGGGAAAACTCCGCGTGCGGGAGGGCGGTGGGAAAGAGAAAACAATGTGGGAGCAACAAGGAGGAATGCTGAACTCTGGCCCTGCAGTTGCCTGCCTGGGCCGATTGTCTCCCAGCTACCCAGTCCCTGATCTAGGTCTGTATAATTCGGCGCTCTGCGAAGGCTGAGGCTTTAATGCCAAGCGGACCACTTTCATGCGGCACACGTAAGAGATGGAGGACACAGAGGGACGCGCTCTGGGCGCCCAAAAGATGCCCCCCCCCCCCCCGCGAGAGGCGAGCGGGGTGTACGGCGTGGCCCGCGCGGCGAAGCCCCTCGACCCCGCGGGGGGCGCCGCGAGCGGAGCGGGCAGCGGCCTCGAAAAGAGCGGGCCGCCGCCGACGGCGACGGCGGCGGCGATGACGGCGTCGTCTTCGTTCATTTCGGATGTCCAGTTGGGAAGAGAGCATCAATGGCACGCCGCGTGTTGGTGCTTCGTTTCTGTTCGAAGATCTGGTGGGCCTTCGGTGGCTGCCCCACGGCGGCGTGTCATTTGTGTATTTTTGGGGGGCAGCCCAGAGATGTTATCAAGGGCTCCCAGGAGGGCGCGAAGTTATTCGCGCTTCGCGCTTCGCCGTCCTCCTTCCTCCTCCCCCTCCTCCTCGTCCTCCTCTTCTCCCCCTTGGGGGGCGGCGCGAGAGCGCGAAGTTATTCGCGCTTCGCGCTTCGCGCAGCGCGAAGCGCGAAGTTGGGAGCCCTAGATTTTTGGGGGGCAGCCCCAGATGTCATCGGCAGCGGTGACGAACACATTGCTGTCCAAGATATTGGGCGACGGCTGGCAGAGCTTGGTGGCCGTGTGCCAGGAGCGGTGGTCATGTCTCACAGAGCGCTTGCCGACCCAGCGAGTTCTGACTTCAGATTCTCGCCCCTCGTCGGAAGCCTCTTCGGGCGTCTCTTGGTGGCTTCTGGGGCTCTTTGGAGGGCTCTTGGGGGCATCTTGGAGCTTGTGTGTGTTGGCTTGGCTTTCTGTGGGTGGTCTTGGTGCGTATTGCAGCAATTTTTGGTCGGTCGTTGGCTGTCTTGGAGTCGACAGTCCACTCGACGCCCAAAAGAGCACCAGAGGGGAAAGCCGAAGGGAGGATTGCCTGAGCAGTGTCGCGGGTAGGGGATCGGTCTGGGAGAATTATCAGAAGCATTGCCAGGCAACCATCAAGAATTCTGACACCCCCCACCGCGGCGCAGACGCGGTCCAGGAGTAGCGTGTGAGCGACGTGAAAAAGGTGGACTGCACCGACATTCGAGCGTAAGCTGCCCGTGCGAAGTCGTGCCGGATTGCCCCCCTCTTGAGCATAAGGTGCCGCGCTGGCGGCCCGCGTAACTCCACGCGCAAGGTCGCCATGTTCTCTCGCCTGAGACCCAACTCTTTCGACGCTCGCGCGGAGGGGACGAGAACACTGAGGAGGAGGAGGAGGAGGAGGAGGAGGAGGAGGAGGAGGAGGAGGAGGGTGGAGGAGGAGGAGGAGGAGGAGGAGGAGGAGGAAACGGAGGAGGAGGAGGAGGAGAAGGAGGAGGAGGATGAGGGGGAGGGGGAAGGGCAGCAGCAGCTGCAGCAGCCCAGCAAAGTCAGCACTAAAACTTCAGGGCTCGACGCTCCATGATGCCCCTGCTGTAATCTTGTGGGGGGACGGATGGCCTTCCGCAAGCTGAAGCCATCATCGCTCATTTACCCCCAGCGCGCATTGAGGCCGTGCAGGTACGTAGTTGAGGGCATCCTCTCGTCCGGTCGGACTGGGGTATAAGGCCGAGGTCGGTTCGGGGAGGGTACCCTAGTGTTCTTCGTGTTTGTTGGTTGTTCTGGTACATCCTGGGGACGGGCATCCTCGAGGGTCTCATGTTCTTGAAGGATGTTCTTTGGGTCCGACCGTACCTTGAAGCTGGACATACATGACGCGGCCAGTCTGGATGAGAATTGGATGTGCGTGTAGCTGAATGCCTGTCCACGTCGCGTCCCTCGTGTGGACAAGTGGGCGGCCTTTCCCCGTGTGTATCCAGCGCGTGGCCTCAACATGTGCCGCACTTGAATCCAGCTGCGGTTGCATTCTTCCAGACTCCCAGCAGGTGGTGGATCATGGGCAGCGACAGTGGGAGGACTGTCGCGAGGGGCTAGGACGAGGATAGATCCGTTCCAGAACGTTCCAGGATGCTCTCAGAGACTTCTGGAACGCTCTAAGACGGCCGCGATGCCCGATATGTCTTCAAGAGCCGCCGGATCTCAAAAATCCTCGATTCATCTTTTTGGGAATTCGTCATCGCCCTGGCTTCGTCTATGGAGGAAGAAAATCGGCACAAACGTTAACTTTTGGCGCTCCGCACGGATTTCTTGGATCCGCGCGGACCCCCGTCCCTGGCGCGCGGAGCGTGCCAGGGGCGGCGCCGGAGGCGCCGCCGGGGGGCCCAGCGCGGATCCAAGAAATCCGCGCGGGACGCCAACGGTTTACGTTTATGTAGTTTTTTTTGTTATTTATCCCCTATCTCCATCCCCATCCCGATCCCCAACATCCCACCACCCCAGTTGGGGATCTACATCTCGAAGCTCGAGGGGGCCCGGCCACGCTCGAGTCTGGCCTGGCTCAGGGGGAAAGCATCGGCCCCTATCGCTCAAGCGTCGCCAAGCCGGGGCCCGGGCTCTCCCCCGCCCCGCCGAGGAGCGTCCGGCCTCGCAGTGCGTAGTAAGGGGGCCCGTGGCCGGCCGACCCCTCGGAGGTGTACTGCCGAATCCAAGCCCTCCTCCTTCCACCCCTCCTCCTCCTCCTGCTCATCCTCCTCCTCATCCTCCTCGTCCTCCCCTCCTCCTCCTCCTCCTCCTCCTCCTCCTCCTCCTCCTCCTCCTCCTCCTCCTCCTCCTCCTCCTCCCTCTCTTCCGCCTCCCTCTCCCCCCGCTCCTCCTCGTCCTCCTCCTCCTCCTCCTCCTCCTCTTCCTCCTCCCAACTGGGCCAGGTGAGACCCGAGCAACCGACAGACACTTGTAGTCGATTGTTTTGTGTCCAGGGCGGAGCCCAGTTTAGGCTACTTACTCAGTAGATGGGCTGGTCTGCCATCCTAGGGGATGGCGGCAGGAGTAGGGTTTGGCATCTTGGTGTCGGAAATGGGGATTCGGCTTACGGGCCACGAAGGAATGTTCAGGGTGAGCGTCAGGATGACGACGAGGTGCTATGCCCTTAACACTGCGGTCGGGGCATTAGTCATTTTAGCTGGAGGCGGCCTCCTTGCCTTGTCCTCACCTCGGCCACCCCCTCATATCGTGTCCCCTCAGATCTATACGCCTGCTTCTGCCCCCACTTGGCGCCTGGGGAAACAGGGCATGGGTAAAATAGCGTGGCTCTGGGGGCCAGACATTCTTGACGCTTCGCTTCTTGACGCTTGCTCCGCTGGGTAATTAGGCTTCGCCCGTAGCCCGGGTTGACCTCTGACGCCGCCTGCGCCTTCGCTTGCAGCTGCGACGGAAAAAAACATGTTCCCGCTTGCTGCTTGGTCGGTTCGCGCTACTAGCGCGGCCCGCCGCAGCAGGCTCGGCGTTAGACTCGTTTCGTGCGCCCGCGCACCAACAAGTATCCGAAACAGATCGCCAGGCGAGTTGTCTTGATCAGGGACGTGTAGAAGCATGCAGTGTAAGAACCGCTTTGTAAGTGTGTTATCGGAGGTCTCTTGGAGCCATCTTGAGTCTCTCGTTTTTTGGGGTCGAGGAGCCCTCTTGGGGCTCTTCGGCGGGGTCTGGGAGGCCTCTTGGGACCATCTTCGCCTCCGAGGCTCAAAGGAGAGGGGTAACAGATTCAGGTCCCCCCTTCAGAGGCTCAAACATATCGTCTTGAGGCCCCTTGGGGCTGTGTTGGAGCCCTCTTGGGTCCCTCTTGGGGCTCCAGTGGCCATCTTGGGTTCATTTCGGGGCCTCCGAGGCGCATCGGAAGCGATAAGGCGAGATGGCACAGCTCATCAATTGCAGTTTGGCTTTGGCCCCGTTTTGGCATCTTGGAGGGGTCTTTGGAGGGCTCGGGGGGCACCTGAATCCATCTCGGGGCCGTCTTGCGGCATTTTGAAGGTGCGTCGGCGGCTATCTTTCGCCATGGTGAGTTACTTTAAACCATCTTGGAAACCATCATTGGGTCTCTGAGGCCCTCCTGGAGCCATCTTGGGCGATTTGGGGAGCTCTAGCGCCTCGCGCCCCCCCCCTCCCAGGCCCAGGGGAGGGGCAAGGGGAGGGGTCGAGCCACCCACCCGCCCGCAAGCCGTCTGGCTCACTCCCACCCGCCCTCCCAACACACAAGGGATTCCCGGGCCTGAGCATGTTCAGCGGTCGTCTTTGGATGGACAGCTATTGGGATCCAAAGCCGACCTCAGGTTCGCGACGCTTGGGCGAGGTGCGCCACGCGTGCCAGGGACACCACGCGCGCCAGGCAATCCTGGGGCCTGAGCATGCCAGGCACGCCTGGTGCGCCAGATGCGCCACGTGCTCCGAGTGCGCCAGGTGTGCCGCACACTCCAGCCGCACCAGGTGCGCCATGTCCGGGGCGCGTGCAGAGTGCGTCAGGTGAGCCTGCGCACGTGAAAGCACACACCAGGAAGCATGTCGGCCCCCGCCATTCTTGCCGAAAACCGATGCCCATCGTTGTGTCTGGTGGGCCTGCGCACAGCAGGCCACGCGCCGCCACCCCCGCGCCCCCTGTCCAAAACAATGTGACAGTGATCGCGGGATGGCCGCGCATGATCCAGATTTAGCTGCGAGGTGCATGTTGTATCGTTTTTGTCAGGGCTGGTAGCACTGCGCACGGCAGGGAATATGCTGGCACTCCCGCCTTGCCTGCCAAAAACAATACAACGTGCTCGCGGGCCTCGCGAACATGACTCAAGACTTTGCCCGAAAGCGTACTTCGCATTCTTGTTTTTGACAAGGATGGTGGGTGGGGGACGCCTCTGACTTGGATGGCAGGGGGCGGGTCGGCATGGTGTCCTCCTGGTTTCTGGTTGGACGCCGGTCGCCTGGGGGGAGGGGGTGTATGTTGACAAGGGACATTGATAAACCCCTCCCCCGAGCAGGGGAAGGATGGATGTTGGCAGAGAGGAGAGAAAACTCGTTACACCACCTGCGCCCAGAGGGCTGGTGGGATTGATGCATGCCGCCGCTCTGACCCCTCGTGAGGTCGGGGCGTGAGCAGGGGCATGGGTAACATCAAAGGTAAAATGTCGATCGCCGAGCAGTGGAGCATCGCGTCGAGAGGCTCCTCCGAGGGAGAAGAGTGGCGAGCGGGAGTGCCGTCCTGTCGTGCGGGGCATCGCCGAGCCGCGCAGAGTGGCGCGGAGGGGGGGGCGGCGGGGGTTGCGGCAGGTGCGCCGCGCGTTGCTCCAGCTGCTGGTGCAGGAGCTCCCGTCCGAGGAGACAAGAGATCTCCGGGTGGGGCGGGGCCTGCGTGTTCGTCTCGGTGGGAGGATGCTAAGTCCCTGCGGAATGATTGCGTACGGAGTGCATTCTGTCTGGGCGTATGCCGTCCGTATTTCGTCTCCTTTCATAGGATGCTGAGCCCGTGCGGAGGTCAGTTCTGGGAGGGTACCTCAATGTTCTTCGTGGTTGTTGGATGTTCTTGTTCATCCTGGGGAGGGTACCCTTGGATGTTCTGTGCGTTTTGGCTGGCGGAGGGTCTCATGTTATTGAAGGATGTTCTTTTGTCTTAGGTCTGACTGTGAGTCTGCACGGAGTGTTCGGTCTCCGTCTGGACTCACTTGTTCGGTGTTCGCCCATCCTGATTCAGGGTGTTCGCGAAAAAATAACCTGCGTAATCGCACATGTTCGGGGTTCCATCGACGATTTACGAAATCCGCGCGGACCTCCGAAGGTTTTTGCTTATGCCGTTAGCTGTTCTTCTAGGGATGCGATTCGGCATCGTCTAACCGATTCCAGGATCCCCCTGTGCCATACTATCTCAGTCCCGCCAGGTCGCCCCCGATGTGGGCACAGGCCCTGTGAAGCCCAAAGAACATGTGTTCCCCCTCTAGGGGGGGCAAGTCGGCCAGCGGGGCCAAGGCCGCGCCAGTGGGCACGGGATCGGCTAAACGATGCTCAGCAATCCTGAAGTGAAGGGCTAGGGAACGAGCACAGCTGGATTCTCACATTTCCTTATTCTGGGGGCTGTTCAGAGCAGTTTTCTTCAACGCCACCTGTGCCCCTACCCCACCTTACGCCCTCGATCGAATAGTGCGCACGATGACTAGTGCGCTCAATGTCTTTACGTTTACTGTATTTCCACACGCTGTTGCCATTCCCCCCGCTGTAGGGTGCAATTCCTCGGAGGGTGAATCGTTGACGCTTCTTGTATCCACACCAGCACTTTGAAATGAGGCGAGCTGACTTGATGCTGTAGGAATATGCAGAGGGGCGACAGGATAGCCGACAAACCGAAGCTCGGGACCAGCCTGAGCAGACCCAGGAGAAAACCATGCACGGTTTTGCGGATTCTTCCATATGGAGGCTTTTAGATTTCTTCATGAGGCCATGTGTGATGGCTGGAGCCACGTTGGCGGTTTCGGGGCTCTCTTGAGGGGCCTTGGCGGCCATCTGGGAGAACATCGATCAACAAGGCGGGCACAGATTGGCGTCGCCCTTCTGGAGCCCGAGATGTTGTCTCTGGGAGCCCTCTTGGGCCGAGCTTTGCCGATTTTGAGTGTTTATTACCTAACAGCGAAGACTGATAGGGTTCTGGTGGGGTCAAAAGAGAGCATCCTGATTCCCCAGGGGGGTCTGGGCAGGATCTGGGGGATGCCGGGGACAACCGGGGATCCGCGCCTGATATGGGGGAACTCAGTCGGGGGTGCCGTGGGTGCCCGCCTGATATGGGGAAACTCAGTCGGGGGTGCCGCGGGTCCACGCCTGATATGGGGGAACTCAGCTGACGGGTGCCGCGGGTGCTTGCCTGATATGGGGGAACTCAGTCGGGGGGGCCGCGGGTGCACGCCTGATATGGGGGAAGTCAGTCGGGGGTGCCGCGGGTCCACGCCTGATATGGGGGAACTCAAGTGAGGCTGAGGCTGCGGCTGCGGCTGAGGCTGAGGCAGGCTGAGGCAGACGCTGAGGCAGGCTGATGCATCCGAAAGCCCATGAGCAGTGAGGAGGAGAGATGCCTCCTGTCGAGCGCCACGGTGTGCTCAGAGGGAGGAAGAGGAGGAGGAGGAGGAGGAGGACGAGGAGGAGGAGGAGGAGGAGGAGGAGGAGGAAGGAGGAGTTCGAGGAAGGATACGCAAGGTTTTTCTCAGCGGTTCCGGCCTCTGGAGGCCCAGTTGCGGGGATCCAGGACGTTTCAAGATTTGCCTTCATGGCGTCTGGCCTCTGGAGCCTCAGTTGCGGGGATCCAGGACGTTTTAATCTGTATACATCGCTGTTGGGTTGCTTTGCCGGGATAATTGGTGCCTGGGATGCCTTGGCGACATTTTGTGGCCTGTCAGCCCATCCTATGCGAGAAGACGAACCTAAAGGTAAACGGGACGTCCTTGGTGGGCTCCGTGGCCTGGGTTCTCGTCGAAGGCATTCTGGAGGCTAGTTTAAGCTAGCTTGGAGCACTTTACCCCGTCTTGAAGGCCATCCGAAAGCATGTGGGGATATGGATTTATCTTCACAGAAAGCCTGGCTTATGCACAGTCTGCCCCCTCCACTGCTGAACATCGTGTGTTGAGGGGTCTGGCGCATTGGCTCGCGCGTCGCCCTCTCTATCCTCCTTCCCTTTTCGTTCCTTTCCATCCCGCTCGTGTGGGCTTCAGTGTGCGGGTGCCGCCATCGGTCTACGCACGCACGAGTTGTGTTTGTTGTCTCTGTTTCTGGTTTCATCCCTCCATCTTGATCCTTGCCTCCTCTGAGTATTGTGTTCTGCATTGCTGTAGTGTTACGCAGCGTTTCCAGATTTGTGCGGCCATGGTCGCCTGGCATGTGGTCAATGTGTAGCCATCTTGGCTCAAGAGCCTCCTGAGGATGCCCCCAGCGTGAAATAGCTTTGCCCTTCTGGGGCGCTGGAGCTGTTTTGGGGAGCTCTTGGGCCCCCTATGGGCCGTCTTTCGGCCTTCCATGTGGGTCCCTCGTGGGGCTCTCTTGGGCGAGATTGGAGCCACATCAAGGGTTCAGAGGCCTATCATATGAAAAACTGTGAGAAGCAAAACACGCGTGAAACCGTATGATTGTTCAGCGTTTCTGGTTTCTCGGCGGTCTCTTTGAAAGGCTCTGTGGCCACGTCGAGCCGTCTTGGGGCGATTTGGAGGCGTCTTGGAGGCATACTGGGGGCCATCTTGAGCAATCTTTGATCATTTTGTGCGATCTCGGGGGCCATGCCCTCTGACACCTCGCAGGGGGGTTCTCCAACCCCAAGGGGAGGACATCCCCTGACGGGGCAGGCGGGCGGGCGGACCACTTCCACACTCCGCGGGCGACGAGACCAGCGCGCCACCGCCTGTGCAACAAAACGTGCAAGACGAGACGATGCCCGAGCAGACCAGAGAAGGCCATGCCAGACAAGGCAACGCCAAGACAAGACGCGATGGCCTTCCAGGCGGCCAGTACTGCTTCGGTACTAATCGTTCTCATGCAGTCTGGCGCAGCACGGCCTAGTCTTATCGAATCCTACCTCGTTATGCGTATTGTGGCTTACGCTGACACGGTCTGGCTCACTCCGTCTTGATATCCCTAGTCGTGGCTACAAACTCTCCCCAACACAAGTCTTTCCTGACTTTTTAAAAAAATACTTCGGTAGCAAATCATTGGGGCCTGGAGTACCCTCTCAATGCCGTCTTTAGCGCCGATTCGCGTCGATTTGCGTCTGGGAGTCGATGAGACTGTGCCGATTTAGCGCCGGTTCGCGTCGAGTAGCGTCGATTCGCAATTGCCGACAAGGCGGTGTGGGGGGCTCCCATGAGTTGCCACCGAAAGATTCTCTGGAGACGGTCTTCTCCTTTTCCTGTTGTGCTCGGTGTTGTCCTTGTGTCTGCCCGCGGGGGACGGGGTCCCGTGATGGCCTCGCACTCGGGATGGGGCCCATCAGTGCCCTGCCCGGAGTTGCCGATACCATCGTTTGCAGCGCTCCTCTATTTGCTGTTGTCCCTTCAAAGGCAACGATAGGGAGGGATGCGCATTGTGGGGGACGCATCGATTCCCAATCGCCAATTGATCGTCGGTAGGGGGCCGATAGCCCGAACCTGTCCAGGGAGGTGTGGATTCACGAGCGGCGGCCTATCGCCGATCTATCGGCGATATATCGCCGATTCTAGGTCGATGTTTCCCCCCTATGCCAGTCCTTCCCTATCTCTGCCCCTCATCCCTTCTGTTTCTCTCTCTTCAGCTGTCTCTGCTCTTCCTCTGAACACAAATATATTGTCGTCGGTCCATCTTCTAAACTCTCTCTGTATAACCCCCTGGACGGAAGCGGAGCCCCACAGATGCCCGTGAAGGCCCCTGGAAGTTCTCAGAAGATCCTCCTTGAGTCTTATCGCGCCCGTTGCGGCGTGAACACCCTGAACAAGACCAAAGGACGTCCAGAGGACCCGATCCTCCAGCCTCAAGCCCTGGTCATCCTCCTCGCGCCTCTCGACCTCTGCGCACGCTGCCGTCGGTGGCTCGAGGTGTTGGGGCTCTCGAGCACGCCTGCACGCGCGAGCAGGGCACGGCACAGACCACGCGCAATGCCGATTGTTCTTTTCGTCCTCGCCCTCCTCCCACACCTCTCCTCCTCGCTCGTCCACCTTTTCCCTGCTTGCCTTCCCTCCCCCTTCCTCTTCTTCCCTTCCTTCCTTCCCGGACGTCCCTGCCATGCCGCATGATGTTTCACTGCTTGACCGAGTCACTCTCCGATGCATTTCCGGCCTCTCCGTGCGCTTCGCGCACTATGGAGCCGTCCCCAGCCCTGCGAAGCGGGCCTGGCCCCGCCGACCAGGCGGAGAATCTCGCCCGGGTGGAGGTCGGGGGCAACGAGAGGGGGGGTGAACGGCATGGAGGGGATGCATGGAGCTCGAATGGTTGATGCATCGACGACGCATCGTTGATGTCAGGGCGATGTAACGGCAACGCCTAGACGAGACACGGGTCGGTCTGCATCGGCGAAGATGCATCTTTCTTATGGCTACAGGTCGGTCGTTGAAAGTAGGTATTTTGGGATCCCCCGATCCCAATCTACTTCCAGCGCCTTCCTGCTGCAAGAGCCGATCCGTGTTTGCCGCCGTCTGTTCCTCTGTGGGCGGGCCCGAACTCGATCGCCTTGATCCGCCTTCCTGCTTCATGCTTCCACCTCCCTCTCCCGACCGACGGGTATCCCCCTGCTGATTGCCCCACAGGGGGGGGGGGGCGGGGGACCTTGGCTTCCCTCGCCGTGCACGTCGCCGCTCCTCGACAGCATTCGGCCTCCGAGGGTCCGCCTCGGGCACCGGGGCCATCCGAGAGCGGCCCCCGGGATGGCAGGGCCGGCCACGTGCGGGTGCGGCCCAGAGGGGGGTGATGACCGAGGCGGGGGGATATCTCATGGCCGGGGCTATGATATCTCCCCAGATTTCGAGGCGCCTCTGCTTCCTTCACTGCGTCCCCTCTGGCACCCCCCGCGCCCTGCGCGTCGCGGGGCCTCGGGCGAGGTCCGGACGACAGCGCAATAATGAGAAGGGGGATGATGGGGCATGTGGAGAAGGGTCGGGGGTTTACAAAGGGGGGGTTATTCCAAGGTGGGGTTGGGCGACGGGCCCAGCCAGATGCTGCCGTCTAACGAGGTTCTTTTTTCCAGGGGCCGTGCGGAGCGATTTTCCCTCCAATGCCACTTTTGCCCCTGCCCCACCGTTGTGCCCCCCCGAGAGGGCGTTTTCAGGCACGCTCTCGGAGCGCTCCGGAGCGCTCCGAGAAGGCCGGTTCGCCCGAGACATCCGCCAGGGCCACCGTAATTATGTGATCGTTTTCTTATTCATTGTTTTGCCGATCGGCGCGGGCCCTCGATCCCCTCCCCCCCATCCCCATGGAGTAGATCTTGGCCTTTTTTCGCATCTGTTTCAAGCTGGTGGAGTCTCTCCCATAGCACGCCCTCTTGCAAACAGACGCGTTGAACAGAGGTCCGGAGCCAGACCCCCCCTCCAACCCCCCTGTTCCGCCCAATGTCGAAACGCCGAATCAGAAAACGTTGATTATCTCAGAGATTCTCGATTTATCCTCACCCGATGTGATCCTCGTCCTGGCCTCGTATCAGGGAGGGGGGCAGGGAGGTCTGATCCTCAGGGCCCTGCGGCGGCCTCTGGGGGCCCCGCCCAGCGGGCGGGTGTCGTGGCCCCCCCCGCCCCCGCGGCAGGGTCGAGGGCGTGCACCCTTCGGCTTGGCATCGCTCGGCGGTGTGCAGCCGTGCTCGGCGAGGGCCATCGAACAGCAGGCTGGATCGTCTCACGACAAGCACGCGCGCGAACCCGAAATACGCACGGGGAATGGGCGTCCGAGCGATGGCGCGTCGGGCTTCTGGCCTCATGGAGGCCGACCTCCCCTCGGGGGAGGAGGCGCACTGGGTAAGCGCCCCTGCGCAGAGGGCTCTCTCCGAGGCGTCCGAGGGAGGCCTGGACTAGGCCTCCACGAACCGCCTCCAGGGCTCTGTCTCACTCACTCACCCGTCGCCTGCTCCTCCTCCGCTCGTCGTGCGTCCCTCTCTGCTCTCGTGCGTCCTTCCCCCCCCTTGACGGTCTCAATTGCCTCCAGATCGGATGCTGCAGAGGCAGAATGAGCAGTCGAGGCTACATGTTCTATATGTATTTGCTTGTCTGCTGCTGGGGCGCGCTTGCCTGCACACAGCCTACCGCCCTGCTGACCCAGCGGTTGTCGCTACTGCTCACTTTGCACTCTGCCCTCGCCTTAGCGTTGCCGACTCCTAGAGCCCAGGTGCCCACAAGCGGCTTTCAGTCTGTTGGTCGGTGCCGCTGGGTGGTGGTACTGGTGGTCGCTGATCCGCCTCCTCCGCCTCCGCCTCCTCTTCTTCCTCCTCGTCCTCCTCCTCCTCTTTGCCCCTGTTGTGTCTCAAGGGCATGGGGGAGTGAAGAAGATGGGGGAGGAACGGAGGGGAAGGAGAAGGGGGTGGTGATTAGCGAGAGGCTCAGGTGAAGGAGTTGGGAGCACGGGCGCTGGGAAAGAGCTGCGGAATGAGAAGGGGGAAGGGGAGGGGCATGAATGTGTTGGCGAGGGGAAGGGGGGACCAGGCGGGGAAAGGAATAGGTGGACGCGCGGAGACGGCGGGAGCACACAAGGGGAAGGGACTTGTAAGGGCTTTCTTCGTCGTCCTCGTCCTCGTCCTCCCTCCTCCGACGCCGCCGCTGTCGCCGTGGCCGGCGACGACGAGGACGCGACGACGACGAACGTTGGCGGGGCGTGGAGGCGGATTTCCTCGCTCTCGACCGCAGCAACACTGGAACCATCGCCTTGTGTGACTTGCAGGACTGGGTCAGGAGGGAGGTCACTACCCACCAAAGCACCCCAACATGACCCGACGGCCACAAGTTCCCCTCCATGCTCAGAGGGGGGACATCCCGGAATTCTGACAAAAGCATGATGGAACCCGCACACGCCCCCCGCCAGCCCGAATCTTTGGAACTTCGGGCTGGGTTGGGGTGGTCTGACAGGTAGTCGAGAGGAGCAGCAGCAGGGGGCAGAGCAGAACTGCGAGTTCGAGGGGCGGGCGTGGGCGCTAAAGAGAAGAGCGAGGGCGGGGAACAGCGCTCGGCCTGTGTGCTCGGAGGGCCGCTCTGAGACTCGGGAATCATCCATTCCGCTCTGCAGCTTCGGGGGGCCTTTCTTGCTGTGCTGTCATTGGCAGCCTTCTCTTGTACTCCGACGTGGGTTCGACGTGGATTGGGTGCGGATTCGAAGGGGATTCGACACGGATTCGACGCGGATCGCGGCGTGGCGGGACAGCCAAGGCCCCCCGAAGATGCAGCACACATTGTTCTGGGCCAGCCGTAATCGGCAGGCGTCGCCAGCAGTCAGGTTCAGCTCTCATACAGTGGAGGCCCATGCCAAGGAGCACCCTGCTTGCCTCCAGGGTTCCCTGTGTCAGAGGCGTGGGGGGAACAAAAACATGATGTCCGCCCTGGCCCCCGTGGGACGAGCAGAAATGTGAGCGTTTTTTTGTTTCCTCTCCAGCGTAACGCTCGTTACCCGGGCCAACCCTCACCCCCCCCCCGGGGTAACGCTAATGATCGTGCCACGGGGGAGGGGGGGCCAGCTCCCTCCCCCTACATGCTGGGAGCGGAGCCCCCGCAGGTATGGTGCTGTGTTCACAGGCATGGCGTGGTCTGAGCGGCACGCACTGGTGCTCAACGTGTTGTGGCGTTCGCAATCGTCGTCGCCGTTGCCGTCGCCGTCACCGTCGTCGTCGTCGTCGTCGTTGTCGTCGTCGCCGTCGTCATCGTTGTCGTCGTCGTCATCGTCGTCGTCTGCGCCGTCGTCGTCCAATGCAGCTGGCGATGGCCCCGCTGCCGCAGGCTGGTTCGACCACTCTTCCGCAAGTGCAAAATGCGGTGGTTCTCTCTCTTCCTTCTGACTGGTGTTCGTTTGCAGTGCGATGCAGTCAGCGCGCCTAATCAGGATGCGCGCTTTCTCCAGGATGCCCCTGAATCCTTGCCTCTGCGGCCTGTCCTTTGCCGCTTTCACTTCACTAACCAGGTTTAACAAAAATGCAAATTCGGTTTCCAAGGGTCGTGCGTCCTCACCGCCCGTCCTTACTGCACGTGCTAATTGTAAACCCAACGACATGGAGAACATGAAGACTGGGCGGGCCCGCGCCTTCTCTCGCGGGCGCTGTGGCGTGCGCAGGCGTTGCGGTTCACGTAGGCAGCTTGGAACACACTGGCGCTGCGTTGCACACGGCTGTTGCGGTGTACACAGGCGTTGTGGTGTACGCAAGCATTTCGGTGCACGCAGGCACCGACGCTGTGTTGCATGCGGTTGCTGTGGTGTACGCGTGCGTTGTGGTGTACGCAGGCATTGTGGTGCACGCGCGTACGATCCTCAGGCGTTCCAAATTCAACCGGGATGATCACAAAACGCGTATATATAACGTTCGTGTTCAGTGGAATCCAAAGGCGCCCCAATTTCCAGAAGGGTTCTTTTTATGAAACAATTGTGGAATTCAGAAACGTTGCGTTTTCAATAGCGATTCCTTTCCAACTTATATGTGAACATGGAGTTCAGTGGAATTCATAGGCGTTCCATTTTCCATGGGGTCTTCGACTGGTTTTAGAGTCTTACTACAAACATGTGTTGCTGCAGTATGCGCAGGCTCTCCGGTGTGCATGGGCGACGTGGTGTTGCAGTGCACGCGGCAGTTGTGGTGTACGGAAGCATTTTGATGTGTACACAGGTGGCGTTGTGTTGCACCCGGGCGTTGGGCACTGTCCTGTGCACAGGCGATTGCTGCGCCGGTGGCGCGGACGCACCCTGGCGGGCGCACGCCGCGGCCGCCGTTACCATCACCCTCCCGCCCGACCCCCCCCGGGTAACGGCCGTTATCCGGGAAATGGTGGCGAGCGCAGTGGCGCGCGCGGTCGCGCGCGACCCGCCGTTGGTAATACAGTGAATGCGCGGGCGCCGCGGCGACGACGACGGCGATGGCGACGACGAGGGCGGCGCCTGCGCCGACGGCGACGACGACGGCGTCAACGGCGACGGCGGCGACGACGAACATCGCGGCGACGGCGGCGACGGGGCTTGGGCCCACGGGCGAACTTGCGCCCCGCCCTCGCTCTTGGAGTCCCGCGCCAGATTTTATGGGAGGATCGATTTTTTTGCGTGCGGTTTACCCCCGCCGTCCCTCCGCTTTTCTCTTTAGTAAAACATCGTTTCTTCTGAATGGATTGAACGGCGCGCCTTCACGAAAGCCGCTTCTTTGCTTTAGTAAAGCCGCTTGCCCGGTGTACTAAGCCGTTTCCTCGCTTTTGTCAAACCGTTTTTCGCTCTGGTGAAGTCCGCGTGAAGCGGCAATTCGGACGTGCCGCCGCGGCTGTCGCGAAACAGAACAATACTACTGTGTTCCGTTTCGAGCAAATAGTCCATTCGAAGTAGTAGTGTGAATTTTCCGCTTCCAACTTGGTTTTTCGAGTTTCCATGGCTTTGCGACGGAAGGCGCGACGTTCCCGCACCATGAATCAATGCACGCCCTGGAGTCTCAGGGTTGGTTTTTTTTCCCAACCATCCTGTAGTGTTGGGTCCTCGCTTTGCAGAAACAGCGCCCCGCGTCTCCTCCCTCCTCTCCCTCCTCCCTCCTCCTCCTCCTCCTCCTCCTCCTCCTCCTCCTCCTCGTCCTCCTCCTCCTCCTCATCACCATCATCATCCCATCCCTTGCCTCTGCCTTCCGCGTGCCCTCATGATCGCCATCGTCATCGGCATCGCCGTCGCCATCGCCATCATCTTCACACCCAGTACAGCGCTTCGTGGCCCCATAGTGAGCTCCACCGATAGGGAGCTCCACCGAAGGTCCCAGTGGCGCAGTGCGCATGCGTCTCCCCCACCCAGTACGACGTTTCTTGGCCCCATAGGGAGCTCCACCGGAGGGCCCTGTGGCGCAGTTCGCATGCGTCTCCCCCACCCAATACAGCGCTCCGTGACCCTGTAGGGAGCTCCACCGAAACTCCCACTGGCGCAGCTCGCATGCGTCTCCCCCATTCAGTACAGCGCTTCGTGGCCCCATATGGAGTTCCACCGATGGCCCCACTGGCGCAGTTCGCATGCGCCCCCCCGCTTCAGTACAGCGTTTCGCGGCCCCATTGGGAGCTCCACTCCACCAAAGGTCCCACTGGCGCAGTTCGCATGCGTCTCCCCCGCCCAGTATAGCGTGTCGTGGCTCCGTAGGGGGTTCCACCGAAGGCCCCACTGGCGCATATCGCATGCGTTTCCCCCACCCAGTGCAGCGCGTCGTGGCCGAATGGGGAGCTCCACCGAATGTCCCAGTGGCGCAGTCCGCATTCGTCTCTCCCACACCCAGCGCAGCGCTTCGTAGCCCCATGGGGAGCTTCACCGAAAGTCCCAGTGGCGCAGCCCGCACGCGTCTCCCACACCCAGTTCAACGCTTCGTGGCCCCATGGGGAGCTCCACCGACACCCCCAAGGAAACAGCCATCGTGCCATTCTCAAACCTGCCGTCGCTGGGCCGCGCGCCGCGCGGGCTCGCCGCGGGCGCTTGGAACCGATGGCGGTGTAGCAACGCCAGCTGTGCAATGCCTTGGCTGCCGCCCGCGGGGCGGCGTTGTCGGCGCAGTCGGCTGCGGGCCGGCCGAGGGGCGCGGCGGCGGCGTGCCGCCTGGTGAACAACGCCGAGGGTCCCAACGGCCCGCGCGGCGCGCTAAAACTGGATTCTAAAGTGCCTCTGGTTCGTGGACCGCCCAGAGGCCTCCCCGGCGGCGGCCCCGAGCGCGCGCGACCTCCCCAGTGCTCCTGAGGATCGGGGGCCGCGCGGTGGCGGAGCTCGAGGCCGCGCGGCTTCGCCCGCCCGCCGAGGCTGCTCCGCCTCCAAGGGAGGCGCCTTCGGCAGCGCAGGCCGCCGCCCCAGCAGTCGATTTGAGCGTTGGCGGCCCCGCGCCCCGGCGGCGCCGCCGGTGCGCGCGCGGCGCGAGCCTGCCGTTGCCGAGGCGGCGGCTCTCGAGATGTTGGTCGACGGCGACGTCGACGGCATCTGCCTTCCCGACGACTCCTGGGCTGACGGCCCTGCCGCGGCCGCAGCCGCCAGCGCCCCCCCGCGCCCTGGCGGCAGGCCGCCTGGCGGCGGGCCTCGCGGGCGTCGGGGTCGTGGCGCCCTCCCGATCGCGGACGCGGCCCCTGGTGGAGGCCCTCGCGCTCGTGGGGATAGAGGCGGTGCGGCAGCCGCGGGGAGCCCCAACTCGGACCTTGGGCCATCCGAAGTCGAGGTCGAGCGCTAGCTGGCGATGTCCATCAAGATGCTGCAGCGGGCCGCGGATTGGGATCCCAGCCGCGAGGACGAGCTCCGTTGTGAGCTCAGGCGCAAGCAGCAGGCTTTTCTCGGGCACTCCTGATGCCCAGCGGTGCATGAGGGTGGTTGCTTGTTTCGTAGCAGCTCGCCGCTGCGCCGTTTCGGGCCTTCTTGAGGCCGCCAGTGAGTGGCTTCGGTGGACTCCCTCTTTTTTGGGGGGCAAACAGCCAGGTGGCGCCCCCGGCGATGCTGCCCATAGGGAGCTCACCCTCAGGTTCCGGTGCTGCCGCCCGCATGCGTCCCCCCCACCCCAGTACGGCGCTTCGTGGCCACATAGGGAGCTCCACCGATGACCCCAGTGGCACCGTCCGCATGCGCCCCTCCCCCCCCCCCCACCCAGCGCAACGCTTCGTGGCCCCACAGGGAGCTTCTTCGAAAAATACATTCACATTAGCGGTGCCCACAACTGCGTATGGTAGGGTCCTTCGCCAGGATAATATTGTGGAGCGTTTCTTGTGGACTGGCCTCTACTGTATGCGTGCGGTAGGTTCGTGTCATGACGACCCATTGGCGAACCCGCGGCGGGCCTTCAATATTAAGTGCCACCAGGGGCCCAGAATCGGCCGACATGGAACGATCTTGCGATCGGGAAGCCGCCGATCGTTCAAGGTTGGACGGTTTACGCGGTGCGAGAAAACAACGCGCAGGTCGTCACGACGCGAACCCGCCGTGTGTATACACATGTGGTTAACTACAGCAACCACTTCCGCACGTTTCGGCAGGTCTGTGCAACTCGAACTACCCCATATGTTTGAATGCCTAATGTGCTTCCATTGTGCGTGTATATGTATGACAATGTCTCGTCGTGGCAAGCCGTCTGCGCACGTGACCGAACCCACTTTCATACAAAGTTATGTTCGCGAGTTAGGTGCTGGCGTTATGTCCTCATAACAGAATTGGGCGAACGATTCAGGTGCGAAGGGTTTCTGACGGCTTCGCGCGATTATACCCTTTGCAGTCACACCAATGGTCGACCCTGAGCTGGAATAGCGCGCCACCAGCGTCTTTGCACTCCCGTGCGTCTCCCCGGGATCATCATTGTCAGCGGCTTTCGGGCCTCAAAAGACGGGGGTTGACGCAAACGGGAATGATTCAGACCGCCAGAACTTACAGGATCCTGCAGGGCCAGGGGCGCACTGACCCGGGCTCGGTTGCAGACCCGGGTCTGAATTGACCCGGGTCAGTAGATCCCCGAGGTTCTTTTGTAATTACCCACGCAAGCGTGGTGCACACCAGACATTGACAGTGCCCCGAAAGTTCGCTGTATTTTTCTTTTTGCGACGTAAAGCTGCCGAGCGCATCTCGCAGTCCTGCCACATCCATCGTCACGCGGACAAGGCCGAGGCAGCTCCTGGACCGAGGCATTGGCCTCCTGTGTGGGGGGGTGCTGAACAATTCCAGGTGTCAGCCCAAATCGTCTTGACATCGCTCGGCCGTGCGCATTTGTTTCGGCGAGGACTATCGAGGAGCATTCTGGATCATCTTGCGAAGGATCAGCGCACGACACCGAACCATGCACGGAAAACGTAACGATTTGAAACCATGAGGCCCTGAAATTACTCCTCCGAGGCAGGCCCTGAGGGCGACTCGGGCGCCCGACTTGCACCAAGACGATGAGAACGTGAGACCTTTCGATGCCATGGAACCCACGGATGAGGCCTTTTTGATGTGCGTATTGGGTCACTTGGGCATTTTCTTGGGTTACCCTCGAGGGGATAGTGTCGAACCCGAGCCCCACCCCCCAAGGTCGCACAACCGACTTCCGCGGGAGACTGTATGGGGGGGGAGGGGGAACGTATCCCTCGCCAGTGCCCAGGGGCCCGTCCGTCATGGGAACGTGCTGGGGATCTTGTGGGCCGCCGCGGAGCCGTCTGGGGCTCCCGCCTCGAAGACGTCTCGGGGCCAGGCGAACAGCTCAGTAAGCACCCCAGACGGTGCCCGTGCGTCTTGGCCACCCGTCTTCGGTGCCCTCGGCCAGTCGCCGGGCCGTCAAGGAAGCTGAGCAGGAGCGGGGGAGAGGGACGTCGATGCACGCAGCTCGATGCGAGAAGGACGGGGGTCTGGGTGCATTTAAGAAGCTGCAGAAATGTTGGCCTTTCGTCACAGGGGCATCGAGAACGTTTCACTGGGTGCCGGAGGGCACGATGTCTGATCTTTGTGTGCGCCTCGATCATCACCACTTTCAGCTCCTTGTCTTAAATGTTCCATTCGTTTTCCCAATCGTCCCCATCTTCTTACATCACAATCCTCGTCTCATTGCACCCACTGCGCTACCGTGTCCCCGTGTTCCAGTAATGCATTTTATTTACGACGTGGATGTCCGCCACTATTTCTGCGGGCACCTCGTCGTCCACCTCCAAATCCGTCTCCACACTGACATTGGTTTTCATCCGCAGCACCCGTTCGAGCTCCTCTGCCGTAAGTGTTGCCAACAGCTTCATTATTCTTCCTATGTCCATGGTACTTCTCTGGCGCTCCAGCAATACAGCGAGGACTTTCTGAGCACGAAAGACCTCGCTTCTGGCGAGATGTCGGTGCAGAGCCCGCGATCTGGCGCTCGGGGGGCGAGGCGGGGAGGAGGCAGTCAGGGATGGGGCGCTTGCGATGACGGCATAGAAACGCAACAGCATCCTTTCTGAATCGTATCTTTGGTGCACTTGCATTGGTTTCAGTGTGTGTGTGTGTTTTTGCGTGAGGGAGAGAGAGAGAGAGAGAGATCAAGGGAGGAACAGGAACAAAAACACCCCGACCCCGACAGGCGGCGTTTATCAAACGGTCCTGGGCGTTTGCGAAACAACCCTGCCCTGCTCGATTGATTATGTGGGTGCTCTTACTAAACTACTTCCCTTGTCGGGGTGCTTCTTACGGGGGTGGATGTTCTGCTCTCTCTGAGAGCGAGAGGGAGAAAGACAGCGTCGAGCCATCAGAGAGGCAGGCCCAGATGATAGTAGCCTAACCTTGCCTTGCACAAGAAGATGCGTTTCTCCGGGAGTTCGGCAGGGGACAGACCTTACCTTTTTCGCCCCCCCCCCCCTCCCCTTCGTGGTTCTCGTTCAGGCCGTCGCGAGTTCAATTTCGAGACGACCGTCACGCGTGGGTGGCCAGCGCGCCGTGGCACACCTGTTGAAAGGGACTGGCGACATGCTACCAATATACCTCTCCAAATCAGGTTTCACAGGCACGTTATGATTCTCGATGCTGCCATATGCTCGTAAGTTCGCTGACACGGCGCTTGCTCTGCGTTGCAGGATGACCAGTTATTGAGCTGCTCGCCGAGGTCTCGCTGAAGACATCCGTAAACGTAAGAGCTGAGACGATGCACCATACTTCGGGCATTACGAGCATCATTGTCCTCCTCGGTAGACGTTTGGGGTGTCACTGTCCCAAGCACAGCTCGCATCTGTTGCTGGAGAGTTCGAGAGATGGCGTCTTGCATGTTTCACTTCCGAAAGGAAAGCCTACAACAGATGTTCGACCTTCTGCGCGGCCATCTTTCTGCTCGGCTAGCTCTGCAGCCTCGGCCACCTTCCGTCTCGCATTGCAGGATGGGTGAGATGTGTCTTGGGCCTCTCGCTGCGGCCAAGCTCTTTCGTATTCGTTATACGCGTAGGTATGAGGCCGGACTGAATCGATGGTCTGCCAATGTATCTTTGGACGCCCGACTTCGCAATGCTCGGGCAAGTTTGCGGGCAGCGCACAGCTTGAAGATGTTGGCGACTTTTGTATTCGGAGTGCCGTCTTCAGATCTGTGCCACAACCTTGTCTCGCCGTTGCTTCATCAGAGTGTTGGAGTAGCCCAGGCTCTTTCCAAGTCTGTTCTGATTGCAGGCGGTAGGAGCACATTGTGCGATTGCGCGAGGCCCGCTGACGACAAGGGAGGTACCATCTGCTCTTGATTTTCAGTCCAGAAGATAGAGGGACAGCCGCATAGTCTGAGCATTATTGATCGTAGCCGAGGGGAGCATGCAGTGCACAGTAGGAAGCCCGCTGAAAAACGGTCTTGACATGATGTGTTTTCCGACTCCGCCGAGCTATGGCGCTTGCGCCGACCCCGTGCTGGTATAGTAAGTGGCTTCGGGCCCATGCCGCTTACCGTGCCACGGCTGTGGACAACGGGTCTCTTGGGATGCAGCTTGAGGGTCTCTCGTGGGGGAGCGAAGAATGACAGAAACAGAACAACTCGAAGGTCCGCGCGGATTCCTCGGATCGGCGTTGGGGCGCCCCTGGCGGCGCCTCCGGCGCCGCCCTTGGCGCGCTCCGCGCGCCAGGGAGGGGGGTACAGCGCGGATCCGAGGGGTCCGCGCGGACCTCCGAGTTGTTATGTTTATGTCATGCTTCGTTCCCCAACGACGCGTCTCCTGGAATGCCGCTTCAGGGCCTCTCGGAGACGTCGGGGGCCTCCCTGGGAGACTGCTGTGGATCCCTGGAGGCTTTTTACGGGCGATGTTTCTGCCCCCGCCGCCGGTCTCGGGGTCCACCTTGGGGTGGAGGGCTTAAGAAGTGAATTCGAGTTTCCCCCTTTGGGGTCCCGCTTGGGGCCCCTCATGGGGACCCCGTGGGCTGGCCTTGGCGGCCGTCTTGGGGGCCTATTGGGTCGTCTCGGATGCTCTCAAGATCGCTGAGCATGCTAACGTTCGACACCAATTTGAACGTGTTCGAGCGATTTTGCTTTCGTTAGGGCGGCCCACACGTCCTCCGGCCCAGGGGGATCCCAAGAAAGCCCGAGGACTGTCCCTCGGGGAGGACACCTTGGGACGAGTGGGAAATGAGGATTCCCAGCCGCACTTTCCAAGGCCTCCAGAGAGGCCACGCGGGTAGCCCAGAGAGCGACTAGGAGCGCCCAGGATATGCAGGTCAATTTTCTGTGCAGGAGGCCTTTGAGTAGCCTTAACATTTTTTCGCCCCCCTCCCCTTCGTGGTTCTCGTTCAGGCCGTCGCGAGTTCAATTTCGAGACGAGCGTCACGCGTGGGTGGCCAGCGCGCCGTGGCACACCTGTTGAAAGGGACTGGCGACATGCTACCAATATACCTCTCCAAATCAGGTTTCACAGGCACGTTATGATTCTCGATGCTGCCATATATTCGTAAGTTTGCTGACACGGCGCTTGCTCGGATGGCTGCGTTGCAGGATGACCAGTTATTGAGCTGCTCGCCGAGGTCTCGCTGAAGACATCCGTAAACGTAAGAGCTGAGACGATGCACCATACTTCGGGCATTACGAGCATCATTGTCCTCCTCGGTAGACGTTTGGGGTGTCACTGTCCCAAGCACAGCTCGCATCTGTTGCTGGAGAGTTCGAGAGATGGCGTTTTGCATGTTTCACTTCCGAAAGGAAAGCCTACAACAGATGTTCGACCTTCTGCGCGGCCATCTTTCTGCTCGGCTAGCTCTGCAGCCTCGGCCACCTTTCGTCTCGCATTGCAGGATGGGTGAGATGTGTCTTGGGCCTCCCGCTGCGGCCAAGCTCTTTCGTATTCGTTATACGCGTAGGTTTGAGGCCGGACTGAATCGATGGTCTGCCAATGTATTTTTGGACGCCCGACTTCGCAATGCTCGGGCAAGTTTGCGGGCAGCGCACAGCTTGAAGATGTTGGCGACTTTTGTATTCGGAGTGCCGTCTTCAGATCTGTGCCACAACCTTGTCTCGCCGTTGCTTCATCAGAGTGTTGGAGTAGCCCAGGCTCTTTCCAAGTCTGTTCTGATTGCAGGCGGTAGGAGCACATTGTGCGATTGCGCGAGGCCCGCTGACGACAAGGGAGGTACCATCTGCTTTTGATTTTCAGTCCAGAAGATAGAGGGACAGCCGCATAGTCTGAGCATTATTGATCGTAGCCGAGGGGAGCATGCAGTGCACAGTAGGAAGCCCGCTGAAAAACGGTCTTGACATGATGTGTTTTCCGACTCCGCCGAGCTATGGCGCTTGCGCCGACCCCGTGCTGGTATAGTAAGTGGCTTCGGGCCCATGCCGCTTACCGTGCCACGGCTGTGGACAACGGGTCTCTTGGGATGCAGCTTGAGGGTCTCTCGTGGGGGAGCGAAGAATGACAGAAACAGAACAACTCGAAGGTCCGCGCGGATTCCTCGGATCGGCGTTGGGGCGCCCCTGGCGGCGCCTCCGGCGCCGCCCTTGGCGCGCTCCGCGCGCCAGGGAGGGGGGTACAGCGCGGATCCGAGGGGTCCGCGCGGACCTCCGAGTTGTTATGTTTATGTCATGCTTCGTTCCCCAACGACGCGTCTCCTGGAATGCCGCTTCAGGGCCTCTCGGAGACGTCGGGGGCCTCCCTGGGAGACTGCTGTGGATCCCTGGAGGCTTTTTACGGGCGATGTTTCTGCCCCCGCCGCCGGTCTCGGGGTCCACCTTGGGGTGGAGGGCTTAAGAAGTGAATTCGAGTTTCCCCCTTTGGGGTCCCGCTTGGGGCCCCTCATGGGGACCCCGTGGGCTGGCCTTGGCGGCCGTCTTGGGGGCCTATTGGGTCGTCTCGGATGCTCTCAAGATCGCTGAGCATGCTAACGTTCGACACCAATTTGAACGTGTTCGAGCGATTTTGCTTTCGTTAGGGCGGCCCACACGTCCTCCGGCCCAGGGGGATCCCAAGAAAGCCCGAGGACTGTCCCTCGGGGAGGACACCTTGGGACGAGTGGGAAATGAGGATTCCCAGCCGCACTTTCCAAGGCCTCCAGAGAGGCCACGCGGGTAGCCCAGAGAGCGACTAGGAGCGCCCAGGATATGCAGGTCAATTTTCTGTGCAGGAGGCCTTTGAGTAGCCTTAACATTTTTTCGCCCCCCTCCCCTTCGTGGTTCTCGTTCAGGCCGTCGCGAGTTCAATTTCGAGACGAGCGTCACGCGTGGGTGGCCAGCGCGCCGTGGCACACCTGTTGAAAGGGACTGGCGACATGCTACCAATATACCTCTCCAAATCAGGTTTCACCACGCGATGCGCCGGTCTCGGGGTCCACCTTGGGGTGGAGGGCTTAAGAAGTGAATTCGAGTTTCCCCCTTTGGGGTCCCGCTTGGGGCCCCTCATGGGGACCCCGTGGGCTGGCCTTGGCGGCCGTCTATTTCGTCTCGGATGCTCTCATCGCTGAGCAGGTTCGTGAACGTGTTCGAGCGATGTCCTTCCCAAGAAAGCCCGAGGATTTCTTCCCAGCCGCATCCCCTCCACGCGGGTTCGCAGGTTCTGTCTTTGAGTAGCCTTAACAGGTTCTCGTTCAGGCCGTCGCGAGTTCAATTTCGAGACGAGCGTCACGCGTGGGTGGCCAGCGCGCCGTGGCACACCTGTTGAAAGGGACTGGCGACATGCTACCAATATACCTCTCCAAATCAGGTTTCACAGGCACGTTATGATTCTCGATGCTGCCATATATTCGTAAGTTTGCTGACACGGCGCTTGCTCGGATGGCTGCGTTGCAGGATGACCAGTTATTGAGCTGCTCGCCGAGGTCTCGCTGAAGACATCCGTAAACGTAAGAGCTGAGACGATGCACCATACTTCGGGCATTACGAGCATCATTGTCCTCCTCGGTAGACGTTTGGGGTGTCACTGTCCCAAGCA